GGTATATCCAGAGTAGTATATCCAGATCTAGGTTCGGTATATCCAGAGTAGTATATCCAGATCTAGGTTCAGTATATGCAACTTATTGAATACTATTATTGTAGGAAAGTTTTGTGAATTCACCATTTCTCTTGTAGGTGTTAGAATGATGTTATTAACATTGTTTTGGACGCCTCTTTTAGTATGGAATCGCGCTGTCGTCATGTGAAAATTGGAAGGAATTCCATCAGCTTACAATTAGACACCTCTCGGTTGTGATTCTAAATGACCATTTTTTCGAACTGATGGATGATATTTTAATTCGTAAATTCATTTGTTGTGGCTTTTTTTTGCGATCAGTCATGATGGCAGTAACATTTGGAGATGTGCGAAGCTTAGTTTTGTGCGAGAAAAGCAGATTCAAAAGCGAGATTTGACGGTGTTCCATGCATAAACTGAGTGTGCCCTATCGAGTTCGAGTTTATGAATGAATTGGATTTATGTAATTTATGTAACACTTTCACAAGAATACACAACTTGCAGATGGCAATCAGCAAACAAAAACTCTCAAACGAGGGTGCACACCACTACCAGTCAACACGACTGCCAAATGAAATATTATCACANATTTGGTAATTGAGTTATTCAGTTTTTTGAATCCAATTCCACTTTGTATTGTTTTGGTGTATTTTTGAAATTGCAATGCACTTATTGCGTAACGTCAATGTTTCATTCAATGCACATTTCGGCACATACGGTTTTGGCTGTAGCAATTGATAAATCCCGAGCGATTTTTGATTATTCATTCGAAATGTTGGCAAAATTCGAGTGTTTGGTAGTGCGATGAAGTAAAATGAGTGTAAATGAGTAGGGAACGATGAAATTAATCGGTTATATGATGAGTGTTTTTGTAGAGCCGAAATTGGTGAATGGTTACTTTTTAATTAGCATTAAAACTTACCTTTGACTTTTTGATCATTTTTTGATCAACTTACTTTTTTTGATCAGTTGAGATCGTCTCGCATAATGCTAACAAATGGATAGTTTTGAGAACAGGTGTTTTTCACCACTTTTCACGGTGGCCAATCAAGACGACTATTCAAGTCAATCCGGACCATTAGTCAATAATGGCAAATAAAGAGTTTATTTTAAGGGAATATGCCACCAGAAACACTCTATTGAATTGTCGTGGTGTTTGTCAGAATTGGAAGAGAATGGTCGAAAGCGAGTCACTGTTGAAAAAGCCATTCACATGGATTCAAATATCCGTACATAATGAGAAGGTGACCGATCTCCAAATGAATTTTTCAGTTACATTGGTACATTGAAAAACTTTCGAATTTCTATTTGATTCGTAAATGGCAGCAATTGATGCAGTTTGCGATGCGTGAATTTGAATGCAACTGAAACCACGAGAAATCACGAGAGTTCGGAGCTTGAAG